CATGCTAAATATATTAGCTCTAGCTCTTTGGGTTCTTTAAAAGAAGAATTTTTAAGTTTTTACTATATGCATATAGGGAAAATCAAAGACCCCCTGGGGCGGGGCCAATTTTCACCCCAGGGCTTTTATTTGAACAAACTTGGAAGACACCCATTAGAACATGTTTCATGCTAAATATCTTAGCTCTAGCTTTTTGAGTTCTTTAAAAGAAGATTTTTTAAGTTTTTACTATATGCATATAGGGAAAATCAATGACCCCCTGGGGCGGGGCCAATTTTGACCCCAGGGCTTTTATTTGAACAAACTTGGTAGACACCCATTAGAACATGTTTCATGCCAAATATTTAAGCTCCAGCTCTTGCGGTTTTCTAAAAGAAAATATTTTAAGTTTTTACTATATACAAATAAGGAAAATCAATGACCCCTCGGGTTGGGGCCAATTTTGACCCCAGGGCATTTATTTGAACAAACTTGGTAGACACCCACTAGAAGATGTTTCATGCTTAATATTTAAGCTCTAGCTATTTGGGGTTTTTAAAAGATTTTTTTTTTAAGTTTTTACTATATACAAATAAGGAAAATCAATGACCCCTTGGGACAGGGCCAATTTTGACCCCCAGGGCATTTATTTGAACAAACTTGGTAGACACTGACTAGTTGATGTTTCATGCTTAATATCTAAGCTCTAGCTCTTAGGTAGCCTGGGTTCCAGTCTGTCGATTTTTTTATGTGCTTCTGTTCGGCAAATCGACAGCCTGGGGAAATACGATTTTCGATCGAAGCGCCACCTAGTATACACCCCGAAAATTACGGGTGTTATTTAAAGAACGATAACTCATGCAACAACAAACTAGTTGCTAAAAATAGAAACGGAATTTCCACGAAGTGACCCGAAGCTCAACGAACAGTTACGGAGCCTCGCTTTCAAAACACCATTTCCGATTAAAATAACACTCGTTGACAAAGTTTATTGCATGATGAGTTAATTCGATCAACAGGTTTGATTAGTTAAATTGGATAAAGTTTGTGAGCATCAGAGAATTGTGCTGGACGCAATTTATAATAGTAAATGGCGTCAAATTTTCAACATTCATCATCTTCGCCTCGATTTCGATTTAGTCATGTAATTTGTTGGTCACGTGCTAATCGGTCTATTAATAGGATTATCATTAGTCGATAATTACATGGGAAACCCCGCAGGTTTCCCCAGGCGTTGATACTATCAAAACCAGAGATGTTGTGCGTTATCTATGACGATCGAGTATGAAATAGCGCGTATGTTATAAATAAGCAAAAAATATCAACGCCTGAATCCCAGGCTAGCTCTTAGGGTTTTCTAAAAGAAGATATTTTAAGTTTTTTCTTTCGGTTGCCATGGCAACCAGAGTTCTGCTTGGAAATAAATGCTTTGAACAATTTTTAAAGTTGACTACCAAAGGAACATTCCTGTGAAGTTTGGATGAAATTGGCCAAGTGGTTTATGAGGAGATGTCGTTTAAAGTAAAAGTTTACGGACGACGGACGGACGATGGACAAAAAGGCGATCACAAAAGCTCACCATGTCACTTTGTGACAGGTGAGCTAATAATGTAGGTGTTGAAAATGAATGTTCCATGAATCAATGAAGAAATAAGAAAGTTAAAGAATGAATAAGAAAAATTCAAAGTTTAAGGAGGAGATAATTCTGGAAATATAGATTCTAGATTTATAAACCTTGTCATAGTATTACGCTGTGGGATTTTTAAAGTAAATCCTATAAGGAATGAAGAAGTCTGAGTAAAAAATACTAATTTCTGGAAAAAAATCTAAGTTCAAGGGGGACAAAATTCTGGAAATAGTCTTGCTAGAGTATTTAACCTTCTCACAAATGTTGAGTGATAATAAGAAACATATATATGAAGTTTGAAGTAGATACATTAAGAAGTAACGAAGTTATTTAAAAAATACAACATTTTTTTCATAAAAATTCTCTCTAAGTTCAAGGGAAGTAATTCTGATACTTTTTGTTCTAGGGTTGTAAACCTTGTCACATATGATGTGGTTGATGACCAGAAACTTATATTTAAAGTTTGAAGTAAACACCTTAAGAAATAAAGAACTTATAGTGAAAAAGCTGAAAAATTCAAATCAGAAATCTTGAAATTCAGTCTACTTGTTGCCATTGCAACCAGAATTTTCAACATAGGAAGAAAAGAAAACAAGAGCTGTCGGTAGGACAGCAACGCTCGACTATTCTTAGTGCTTGATAGTAACAAGGAACATCGCAATGCGATGCAACCAGGTTTTCAGCAAAATATTTCACAGAAGCTTTGTCATGAAGGGGCATTTGTTTTTAATTGAACTTTTAGGAGGAATTATGGCTTTTTTAATATTCCTCAAACAAAAATGATTGAGAAATTTTATGTTGTCTATCCGCCTTTTTTTCCCAAATGTTTTAGAAAGGTAAACAGTATTTTATTTTTGCTTAATTTTTGCATTTTTGCGTCTCTTGTCATTTTCTTTTGTCAACAATATTGGCGTGTGGTGTTTTGTGCGACATCAAGAAAAGTATGTTCACAATTTTAAAAAAATACTTGAATGATGTCTTGGAAGAAACATGGGAATTTAGTGAACGCCAGGGCACTTGATGACAAAGCTTCTGTGAAAGTTTGGTCAAAATCCATTGAGAAATGTAGGAGAAGTTGCGCACTGTAGAAATTGTTCACTATATATTCTGTATAAGGAAAAAATATACAAAGGGCCATAATTCGGTCAAATATTATCCAATCACAAAACCCCGACAATATGTGCCAGGCACTTGATAACAAAGCTTCTAAGAAAGTTTGGTCAAAATCCGTTGAGAAATGTAGGAGTTGAGCACAGAAGAAATTGTTCTCTATATATTCTGTATAAGGAAAAAATATACAAAGGGCCATAATGCGGTCAAATATTATCCAATCACAAAACCCCGACAATATGTGCCAGGCACTTGATAACAAAGCTTCTAAGAAAGTTTGGCCAAAATCCGTTGAGAAATGTAGGAGGAGTTGCGCACAGAAGAAATTGTTCACTATATATTCTATATAAGGAAAAAAAACAAAGGGCCATAATGCGGTCAAATATATACCAATTGCAAAACCCTGGCAATATGTGTCAGGGCACTTGATGACAAAGCTTCTGAGAAAGTTTGGTCAAAATCCGTTGAGAAATGTAGGAGGAGTTGCGCACAGAAGAAATTGTTCACTATATATTTTATATAAGGAAAAAAAAACAAAGGGCCATAATTAGGTCAAATATTATCTAATCGCAAAACCCCGACAATATGTGCCAGGCACTTGATAACAAAGCTTCTAAGAAAGTTTGGTCAAAATCCGTTGAGAAATGTAGGAGGAGTTGCGCACAGAAGAAATTGTTCACTATATATTCTATATAAGGAAAAAAAACAAAGGGCCATAATTAGGTCAAATATATACCAATTGCAAAACCCTGGCAATATGTGTCAGGGCACTTGATGACAAAGCTTCTGAGAAAGTTTGGTCAAAATCCGTTGAGAAATGTAGGAGGAGTTGCGCACAGAAGAAATTGTTCACTATATATTTTATATAAGGAAAAAAAACAAAGGGCCATAATTAGGTCAAATATATTCTAATCGCAAAACCCCGACAATATGCGCCAGGGCACTTGATGACAAAGCTTCTGTGAAAGTTTGGTCAAAATCCGTTGAGAAATGTAGGAGGAGTTGCGCACAGAAGAAATTGTTTACGCCCGCCCGCCCGCCCGCCGACATACCTCAATCTAATAACCAGTTTTTTCCTTCGGAAAACCTGGTTAAAAAAAATGCTTGATAGAGTTACCTCCTCCTGTTTACAGGTTGGGGTCATGATGGTGAACAAGTGTGCAAAGTTTCAAAGCCATATGTCAATGGACTTTGAAAATATTTGAACTATTACAAAAACTTTAACGTACATTCTAAGTCGAAAAAGGGGCATAATTCTGTCAAAATGCTTGATAGAGTTACCTCCTCCTGTTTACAGGTTGGGGTCATGATGGTGAACAAGTGTGCAAAGTTTCAAAGCCATATGTCAATGGACTTTGAAAATATTTGAACTATTACAAAAACTTTAACGTAAATTCTAAGTCAAAAAAGGGGCATAATTCTGTCAAAATGCTTGATAGAGTTACCTCCTCCTGTTTACAAGTTGGGGTCATGATGGTGAACAAGTGTGCAAAGTTTCAAAGCCATATGTCTATGGACTTTGAAAATATTTTAACTATTACAAAAACTTTAACATAAATTCTAAGTCGAAAAAGGGGCATAATTCTGTCAAAATGCTTGATAGAGTTACCTCCTCCTGTTTACAGGTTGGGGTCATGATGTTGAACAAGTGTGCAAAGTTTCAAAGCCATATGTCAATGGACTTTGAAAATATTTGAACTATTACAAAAACTTTAACATAAGTGGTTACGCCGACGCCGACGCTCGGGTGACTGCAATAGCTCTACTTATTCTTATCGAATAGTCGAGCTAAAAATGTGCATAATTTCTAGACTGTCATCACTCCTTTCCAAGTTTTATAAAAATATTTTCAGTACTTTTTGAGTTATCACTGGATCCAGTTTATGTGTTAAATTTGCCATATTTTCAGTCTATTTGTTGCCATAGCAACCAGAATTTTCAACATAGGAAGAAAAGAAAAAGACATGCATAATCTCCATACTGCCATTTATGAATGTGTCAAGTTTCATAAAAATATTTCCTGTACTTTTTGCGTTATCGCGGGATCCAGTTTTGTGGACGGACGGACGGACTGACTGACGGACTGACAAGACAGACAGACAGATCGACAGACAGACAGACAGACGGACGGAGGGTAAACCTAAAGTCCCCTCTGGTTAATGCGGTAGGGGACTAATAATGTACAGAAACTGATGATGACGGAATGACAGAATGACGGAAGGACGGAACAGGGTAACACTATAACTTTGATATTGCTTCAAATGAAACTGACCAGACCACTTACTTCATAATAAACATCTGATGCTTAAAAGCACTGAACTCTCTTCTGATAATCTCTACTGGAAATTCGGGCTGAGCAACAACATGATGTCCCATGAAAGTATCCTGTTTCGCCTCACCATAATGATCAGCAATGTGGCTAATAGACGTCTATATTAAATGAAATTATGTGAAATAATTGTATTGCTTTGTGGTTAAATAAATGGGTTCTAAACTCTATAAATAAAAGTTGAAACAAGGAACATCGCAATGCGATGCAACCAGGTTTTCAGCAAAATATTTCACAGAAGCTTTGTCATGAAGGGGCATTTGTTTTTAATTGAACTTTTAGGAGGAATTATCATATGGCTTTTTTAATATTCCTCAAACAAAAATGATTGAGAAATTTTATGTTGTCTATTCGCCTTTTTTTCCCAAATATTTTAGAAAGGTAAACAGTATTTTATTTTTGCTTAATTTTTGCATTTTTGCGTCTCTTGTCATTTTCTTTTGTCAACAATATTGGCGTGTGGTGTTTTGTGCGATATCAAGAAAAGTATGTTCACAATTTTAAAAAAATACTTGAATGTTGGAAGAAACATGGGAATTTAGTGAGCGCCAGGGCACCTGATGACAAAGCTTCTGTGAAAGTTTGGTCAAAATCCATTGAGAAATGTAGGAGAAGTTGCGCACTGTAGAAATTGTTCACTATATATTCTGTATAAGGAAAAAATATATCAAGGGCCATAATTCGGTCAAATATTATCCAATCACAAAACCCCGACAATATGTGCCAGGCACTTGATAACAAAGCTTCTAAGAAAGTTTGGTCAAAATCCGTTGAGAAATGTAGGAGGAGTTGCGCACAGAAGAAATTGTTCACTATATATTCTATATACGGAAAAAAAACAAAGGGCCATAATTAGGTCAAATATATACCAATTGCAAAACCATGGCAATATGTGACAGGGCACTTGATGACAAAGCTTCTGAGAAAGTTTGGTCAAAATCCGTTGACAAATGTAGGAGGAGTTGCGCACACTATATATTTTATATAAGGAAAAAAAACAAAGGGCCATAATTAGGTCAAATATTATCTAATCGCAAAACCCCGACAATATGCGCCAGGGCACTTGATGACAAAGCTTCTGTGAAAGTTTGGTCAAAATCCGTTGAGAAATGTAGGAGGAGTTGCGCACAGAAGAAATTGTTTACGCCCGCCCGCCCGTCCGCCCATCCGCCCGCCCGCCGACATACCTCAATCTAATAACCAGTTTTTTCCTTCGGAAAACCTGGTTTAAAATTACTATTAGTATGAAAACTGGATATTCTTGATTATAACAAGCAATTATCATAGTATTGCAAGCAATCCATAAGTCCCCTACCGGTTAGAACCCCAGCAACATTCTGAAGGGCCATTGGCCATTCACTTATGTTTCTATTTTTAGTAAATTTATTGAAAAAGTTCTTTAAAAGTGATCACAGGAAACAGTTTTTATGTACAGACAGACAGACGGACTGAAGGACACTCTAAAGTTATTTTTTTAACATCCCTGTTATCAAAATATAACATTTTTAAAAGCAAAATTTTTAAAAAGGAGATAACTCTTGAAATAAAGATGCAAGATGTCATACGTGATGTGAGTGTAACAAAGAACAAGTAGTAATGAAGGTATGAATACTGAATGTTTATTTTGAAATTGAAGTAAATGAAAGTTAAAAGAATGAATAGGAAAAATTAAAAGTTTAAGGAGGAGATTATTCTGGAAATATGGATGCTAGATTTATAAACCTTGTCATAATTATTATTATGATGTGGGAGTTTGAAGAAAATCCTATCATGATTGAAGAAGTTGGAGTAAAAATTACCAATTTCTCAAAGTTCAAAAGGGGCATAATTCTGGAAATAGTCTTGCTTAGAGTATTGAACTTTCTCACAAAAGTTGAGTGATAATAAGAAACATTTATATTAAGATTGAAGTAGATACATTTAGAAACAAGAGGGCCATGATGGCCCTGAGGTCGCTCACCTGTATATAGCCCCCCCCCACCCCGAGCCAATTTTTACCCAAGGGCTTTTATTTGTTTATTTGAACAGACTTGGTAGACACCTATAAGAAGATGTTTCATGCTAAACATCTAAGTTCTAGCTCATTGGGTTTTTTAAAAGAAGATTTTTAAAGTTTTTACTATACACATATAGTTAAAAACAATGACACCCCTGGGGCAGGGCCAGTTTTGACCCAAGGGCTTTTATTCGAACAAAAAGTGATAGACACTCACTAGAAGATGTTTCATGCTTAATATCTAAACTCTAGCTATTTGGGTTTTTTCAAAGAAGATTTTTAAGTTTTTGCTATACACATATAAGGAAAATCAATGATCCCCCCCCCCCCCGGCGGGGCCAGTTTTGACCACCCCAGGGCTTTTATTTGAACATACTTGGTAGACACCCATTAGAACATGTTTCATGCTAAATATCTTAGCTCTAGCCTTTTGAGTTCTTTAAAAGAAGATTTTTTAAGTTTTTACTATATGCATATAGGGAAAATCAATGACCCCCTGGGGCGGGGCCAATTTTGACCCCAGGGCTTTTATTTGAACAAACATGATAGACACTCATTAGAAGATGTTTCATGTTAAATATCTTAGCTCTAGCTCTTTGGGTTTTTTAAAAGAAGATTTTTTAAGTTTTTACTATATGCATATAGGGAAAATCTATGACCCCCTGGGGCAAGGTCAATTTTGACCCCAGGGCTTTTATTTGAACAAACTTGGTAGACATTCACTAGAAGATGTTTCATGCCAAATATCTTAGCTCTAGCTCTTACGGTTCTTTAAAAGAAGATTTTTTAAGTTTTTACTATATGCATATAGGGAAAATCAATGACCCCTGGGGCGGGGCCAATTTTGACCCCAGGGCTTTTATTTGAACAAACTTGGTAGACACTCACTAGAAGATGTTTCATGCTAAATATCTAAGCTCTAGCTCTTTGAGTTCTTTAAAAGAAGATTTTTTAAGTTTTTACTATATGCATATAGGGAAAATCAATGACCCCCTGGGGCGGGGCCAATTTTGACCCCAGGGCTTTTATTTGAACAAACTTGGTAGACACTCACTAGAAGATGTTTCATGCCAAATATCTAAGCTCTAGCTCTTAGGGTTGTTTAAAAGAAGATATTTAAAGATTTTTCTTTCGGTTGCCATGGCAACCAGAGTTCTGCATGGAATTAAATTCTTTGAACAATTTTTAAAGGTGACCACCAAAGGAACATTCCTGTGAAGTTTGGATGAAATTGGCTCAGTGGTTTATGAGGAGATGTCATTTAAAGCAAAAGTTTACGGACGGACGACGAAAGGACGACGGACGGACGGACGCCGGACAAAAAGCGATCACAAAAGCTCACCCTGTCACTTTGTAACAGGTGAGCTAAAAAAGAAGTTATTAAAAAAAAAAAAAAAATATTTTTTCATGAAAATTTTAAGTTCAAGGGAGGTAATTCTGATACATTTTGTCCTAGAGTTGTAAACCTTGTCACATATGATGTGATTGATGACTAGCAACTTATATTTAAAGTTTGAAGTAAATACCTTAAGAAATAAAGAATTTAAAGTGAAAAAACTTAAAAACTAGAATCAGAAATCTTGAAATTCAGTCTATTTGTTGCCATAGCAACCAGAATTTCCAACATAGGAAGATAAGAAAAGGATGTTCATAATTTCCATACTGCCATCTACCCATATGTCAAGTTTCATAAAAATATTTTCAATACTTTTTGCGTTATCACTGGATCCAGGTTATGTGTAAAATTTGCAATATTTTCAGTCTATTTGTTGCCATAGCAACCAGAATTTTCAGTATAGGAAAAAAAGAAAAAGACGTGCATAATCTCCATAATGCCATTTATTTATATATCAAGTTTCATAAAAATATTTTCAGTACTTTTTGCATTATCGTGGGATCCAGGTTATGTGTAAAATTTGCCATATTTTCAGTCTATTTGTTGCCATAGCAACCAGAATTTTCAGCATAGGAAAAAAAGAAAAAGACGTGCATAATCTCTATACTGCCATCTATCCATATATTAAGTTTCATAAAAATATTTTCAGTACTTTTTGCGTTATCGCGGGATCCAGGTTATGTGTAAAATTTGCCATATTTTCAGTCTATTTGTTGCCATAGCAACCAGAATTTTCAACATAGGAAGAAAAGAAAAAGACGTGCATAATCTCCATACTGCCATCTATCCATATATCAAGTTTCATTAGAATATTTTCAGTACTTTTTGCGTTATCGCGGGATCCAGTTTTGTGGACTGACAGACGGACAGACAGACGGACGGAGGGTAAACCTAAAGTCCCCTCCGGTAAACCGGTAGGGGACTAATAAAAATTTATTATTTGGAAAACAACAACTTTACAATGAAGTAAAACATGTTATTTATTTATTTATACCTGTCCATAGTCGCCCAATTCAAGGGGATTTGAAGGTACATGTCTCATATCAAACACAGAGAAAGGACCTAAAGCCAGGCTACAATGAAATGCATCTTCGAGCTCCTGTATCAAACTGTACACCATCGGCCTGGCAACTTCTTCTGCCAACTGTTGAATTGGCCCTTCATCTCTGAAAAATCCAAAGATCAGACAAATACAAGCAATTATCATAGTATTGCAAGCAATCCATAAGTCCCCTACCGGTTAGAACCCCAGCAACATTCTAAAGGGCCATTGGCCATTAACTTATGTTTTTATTTGAAGTAAATTTGTTGAAAAAGTTCTTTAAAAGTGATCACAGGAAACAGTTTTTATGTACAGACAGTCAGACGGACTGAAGGACAGTCTAAAGTTAATTTTTAAACATCCCTGTTATCAAAATATAACATTTTTAAAAGCAAAATTCTTAAAAAGGAGATAACTCTTGAAATAAAGATGCAAGATGTCATACGTGATGTGAGTGTAACAAAGAACAATTAGTAATGAAGGTATGAATAATGAATGTTTATTTTGAATTTGAAGTAAATGAAAGTTAAAAGAACGAATAGGAAAAATTAAAAGTTTAAGGAGGAGATTAGTCTGGAAATATGGATGCTAGATTTATAAACCTTGTCATAATTATTATTATAATGTGGGAGTTTGAAGAAAATCCTATCATGATTGAAGAAGTTGGAGTAAAAATTACCAATTTCTCAAAAAAGTACAAAAAGGGGCATAATTCTGGAAATAGTCTTGGGAGGTAATTCTGATGAATTTTGTCCTAGAGTTGTAAACATTGTCACATATGATGTGGTTGATGACTAGCAACTTATATTTAAAGTTTGAAGAAAATACCTTAAGAAATAAAGAACTTATAGTGAAAAAACTTAAAAACTAGAATAAGAAATCTTGAAATTCAGTCTATTTGTTGCCATAGCAACCAGAATTTTCAACATAGGAAGATAAGAAAAGGATGTTCATAATTTCCATACTGCCATCTACCCATATGTCAAGTTTCATAAAAAATATTTTCAGTACTTTTTGTGTTATCGCAGGATCCAGGTTATGTGTAAAATTTGCCATATTTTCAGTCTATTTGTTGCCATAGCAACCAGAATTTTCAACATAGGAAGAAAAAAACAAGAGGGCCATGATGGCTCTGAGGTCGCTCACCTGTATATAACCCCCCCCCCCCCCCTTTTATTTGTTTATTTGAACAGACTTGGTAGACACCCATAAGAAGATGTTTCATGCTAAACATCTAAGTTCTAGCTCATTGGGTTTTTTAAAAGAAGATTTTTTAAGTATTTACTATACACATATAGTTAAAAACAATGACACCCCTGGGGCAGGGCCAGTTTTGACCCCCGGGCTTTAATTTGTAGATATTTACTTATAGATGTTTCATGCTTAATATCTAAACTAAAGCTATTTGGGTTTTTTCAAAGAAGATTTTTAAGTTTTTGCTATACACATATAAGGAAAATCAATGACCCCCGGGGCAGGGCCAGTTTTGACCCCAGGGCTTTTATTTGAACATACTTGGTAGACACCCATTAGAACATGTTTCATGCTAAATATCTTAGCTCTAGCTCTTTGGGTTCTTTAAAAGAAGATTTTTTAAGTTTTTACTATATGCATATAGGGAAAATCAATGACCCCCTGGGGCGGGGCCAATTTTGACCCCAGGGCTTTTATTTGAACAAACTTGGTAGACATTCACAAGAAGATGTTTCATGCCAAATATCTAAGCTCTAGCTCTTACGGTTCTTTAAAAGAAGATTTTTTAAGTTTTTACTATATGCATATAGGGAAAATCAATGACCCCCCAGGGCGGGGCCAATTTTGACCCCAGGGCTTTTATTTGAACAAACTTGGTAGACACTCACAACAAACTTGGTAGACACTCACTAGAAGATGTTTCATGCCAAATATCTTAGCTCTAGCTCTTTGGGTTCTTTAAAAGAAGATTTTTTAAGTTTTTACTATATGCATATAGGGAAAATCTATGACCCCCTGGGGCAGGGCCAATTTTGACCTCAGGGCTTTTATTTGAACAAACTTGGTAGACACTCATTAGAAGATGTTTCATGCTAAATATCTTAGCTCTAGCTCTTTGGGTTCTTTAAAAGAAGATTTTTTAAGTTTTTACTATATGCATATAGGGAAAATCAATGACCCCCTGGGGCGGGGCCAATTTTGACCCCAGGGCTTTTATTTGAACAAACTTGGTAGACATTCACTAGAAGATGTTTCATGCCAAATATCTAAGCTCTAGCTCTTACAGTTCTTTAAAAGAAGATTTTTTAAGTTTTTACTATATGCATATAGGGAAAATCAATGACCCCCCCTGGGCGGGGCCAGTTTTGACCCCAGGGCTTTTATTTGAACAAACTTGGTAGACACTCTTTAGAAGATGTTTCATGCCAAATATCTAAGCTCTAGCTCTTACAGTTCTTTAAAAGAAGATATTTAAAGATTTTTCTTTCGGTTGCCATGGCAACCAGAGTTCTGCATGGAATTAAATTCTTTGAACAATTTTTAAAGGTGACCACCAAAGGAACATTCCTGTGAAGTTTGGATGAAATTGGCTCAGTGGTTTATGAGGAGATGTCATTTAAAGCAAAAGTTTACGGACGGACGGACGGGACGGACGGCGGACGAAAAGCGATCACAAAAGCTCACCCTGTCACTTTGTGACAGGTAAGCTAAAAAGACGTGCATAATCTCCATACTGCCATCTATCCATATATCAAGTTTCATTAAAATATTTTCAGTACTTTTTGCATTATTGCGGGATCCAGTTTTGTGGACGGCCGGACGGACGGACGGACTGACGGACAGACGGACGGAGGGTAAACCTAAAGTCCCCTCTGGTAAACCGGTAGGGGACTTGTTCATAAACAGTTTAGTTTCTTTAAATTACAAATTACATAGTTTTAATTCTGACAGTCACTTCAATTGTAATCAATAAAATCCTGTCTAACAAGACTGTCTGAAATAATCACTAATTGACTATTAATGACCTTTTGTTTTTATTTTTTTTGGTACAGTTTTAAACCTTAAGTCTCTAAAGAGATTATGTCATATAATGAACTTTTTTACCTTAGCCTTCTTGCAAGTTCTCTCCTCTCATCTATCAGATCCCATATCATTGGCAGTTTGGAGAAATAAAGTTCATCATGCACACAAACACCAACTTGTGTAAATCTATTACTCAGATGTTCAAGTTCATCTATGAGGTTCTGAAGTTATGAATTTAAGGTTGATAATGTAACTGAAAATGTAATGTCTATAAGAGAATGCTGATCATTTATATCTATTCAATTAAAAAAATGTTTTAATTGAGTAATTGTTAAACATAACTTGATTCAATCGTAATTTGTAACTGTACATTTCTTTGTTGTCATTTAGTTATGTGATAGGTAAATATGTACATCAATAGTCAAGTCAGAATGATAATCAAATTTGTGTGAAGATTTGGCAGCAGTGCTTAACAAAGACAGACATATTTTTGTTGAAATACTTCCTCTCATTTTCTCATTCACACGTGAAAAGTGGACATCACCTTGTAAGTAGTCACTGAATATGACAATGGGCTTCAGCATATCACATAGGGAAGCTGCTGCTGCTATTGTACGTTTGTTAAGTAGCATCTCCCTTAATCCAACTACTTCAGGGCTTCTTGATTTAGTCAAGATGGAGTCTACCGCATCAATTATGGGTTCATATCTATCAAGGAGGCGGCTGCAAGCCCGACCATGAGTTAACCACCTTGTAGCTGCAGCTCTCAAAAAACGTAAGCTTTATTATAATTGCATCTGATTTTACAATTTATTTTTTTCGGTTATTACACAAGCAAACAGTAGATTTAACATTCAAATTTAATTAATGATGAGCCCGATTGTTGGCCCGACAGACTGCAAGGACACTACTTACAGCAAATCTTTGAGCCGAAAATTTCAATTTCCATATGGTAAACATCACGGCATCCAGGTCTAAAAGAACCGGGTACTGCTTGACAAGATGGCTTACGCACAAGGCAAGTCTATGATTTCTGCAGTTAATGTAGAGTTGAAATGGGACCACATGTCTGAATCTGGGCTGTAATCCTGTGAATAAATTAAACATATTCTAAAATACAGTATAAATACCAATTTCTTTATTTCTTTAATTACTTTCATTACTAATGAATGTATTTACATTATTGCCTTTATATTTTTATTAAATAGTGTTATGATAAAAAATCTGATAGTTTTATCAAGTCCTCTTACCTTTGTTGACCCCACTCATAACATTACAGCCATCAAAGCCTCATAACGTTACAGCCATCAAAGCCTACAAAAATGGCTTTTTTGATATCGTTTCCCTTGCCTTGAAAAAACGGTTCAATGGCTCCCATCAAACTTGCTGCATCAGTAGAGACTGCTTGAATGATTCCAACAAAAACATCTGCCACTTGCTTTTCCTTTAAAAATTTGATTATTACTGCAAATTGATTAGACTCATCAGTTGATTCGTCTGCCATTAGAGCATAGCATTTGGCATCACGGATTTGTTTAAGGATATCATCTTCAAATGCAAATGCAATTGATTTGACAATGTCCTGGATAGAAGATGGAGAAGTGTAAGTCAACTTAGGATTTTCAATCACATACTGTTTCACCATTTCATTTTTTATATCAGAAGCCAAGAAGTTCTTGATAAAATCCTCAAGGTTGTCAGTGAGTGCCCATCTTTTCCTAAGCATGAAATGTGAAGTACGGAACAAGGTCTCCAAATATGTTTTGTTCAATGCCTTTTTACTTTCTACTTGTTTTGCCAATAATGGAAAAATCTTCTGTGTACCTTTAATTGATTTGGAAAGGTAGCTTTCTGAAGCCTTTAAGTGCTTCTCAGACTGGTCACGAGTTTTTAGACGTCTTGCTGGATGAGTGCCTAAGTTAACTCCGCATGAAATATAAGCAGTTGTCTCATCAGGCAATGAACTACTATACATGAATTCACAGTACTTGCAGCAATAACCTTCTTTGGATGCACTGTAGTAAAGCCATTTGAAAGTCTTCATATTTATTGGTATCAAACAGTCAACCGTCAGGCAGTCAACTGTCAGGCACCATTACACATGCTTTTTTACTTGTACATATATATCTGACCCATTGTCTCAATCATCATCACTAGAATCATGAGAATGGGAGTAAACTTGGTTATGGGAGAATACTGCTTTACGTTTTAGTGATTCTTTTTTAGAGACTGTAGTTGATGTTGATGTGGTGATTTCAGACAAAGATAATGCATGCTGCTTAAATAAAATGTCAATTTTCTTACACTTTTCTGATGTGTTTGACGTTATTCTTTTTTTGTTGTGGTTTTGATTGTGCGACATTTTACTTCGCAACAGTAATATCCGAAAATTCCAAACGTATTCCTACCTGATCAGTTACGATTAATTTCATTGGGCAGGAGAAATTGAGGGGAGGTAACATTTTCTGTAATTTTTTATTTTTTATTATTTTTTTTTAGGGGAATTTTTTTCTGAATTAGGGGAAAAAACATGATCTTGAGAGGGGAATGGGGCCGATATGGCCCCAAAAATGGCCAAACAAGTGCCCTGCATTGTAACCAAGGGCATGGTGTGGTTTTCTTCCAGTGTTATCGTGCATACATGGTACTGCGCCCGCCATTGTTACTAAAGTGATCAAGTAGGTTTCGCAGAGCTTTTGATCTGATATCATTGACATACATGAATGCTTTCTTACAGACAGGTTTAAAATGAAAAGTGTATCTAAAACAAGTCTGTTTCCAACATTTCCCTTTCAGAGTTTCCTCAGTAGCAATTTGATGTGAGCTCCAAGTAATGAACATCTCTGCTTCCTTTCTGTCAATCTCGAGATCTCTCATTGAAAGTATATGCTGTCAATACTAGCCTTGTCAAACTGGAGAAGGCAATTCACTTTGCAGGACTGGTACAAACTTTACTGTTACATGATGCGTCATCAGTCTACACAGTCATACAGTTTCATAATTTCTAATCATTTCTTCAATCCTTGCATTGACAACCTGTTCTTCGTCACTGTCACTGACTTCAAACTCCTGGCCCAGATGTTCAGATATCCATTTCTGGAGATGTAAGACTTTGCTAGAAAGGTATTCCAAATGACTCAAACAATCTGTTTAATTCCTAAAAAAAAAAAAAAAATTGAAAAAGATACGTTCACTATAATAATTTTATTGAAGATTAAATTTTTTTTTAAAAATGCGATTGTGTATACATTATGCATCTGAAGCAACCGCTGTATCCACTGAGTCAATGACCCATATTTAACCTACGTTCACTATTTATCATATGAAATTAATTGTTGCTAAAAATAGCAAATACGGGAGAGAATTTTGTTGCTTAGTATTTATGTACACACTGAAAATCTTTTACTAAGTTAAGGGAAAGAACTTACCAAATGCTGAATATATCTTCAAGTGAACCCCAAGGTGCATAAGTACTTATGTTAACCAACATTCTTGTAAACTTTCAGGCCTACATTGGTCAAATACTTTATGAAAATTGAAAATTGCTAATTTATACTAAGTCAAATTGAAAATTGCAAATTTATACTAAGTCAAAAGTACTAAATATTATCCACACAAAAAATACCCAGGTGCACAACTTCACATGCTGAACAACATTCCTATAAGGTTTCATGACTAGGTCAAATACTTTTTGAGTTACATGCGACACAAGTTGAAAATTGCAAATTTTTACTAAATCAAGGGCAATAACTCTAAAAATACTAAAAAATATCCACACGAAAATACCAAGGTGCACAGCTACACATGCTGATCAACATTCTTGTAAAGTTTCATGACTCTAGGTCAAATACTTTTTGAGTTACATGCGACACAAGTTGAAAATTGCAAAAATTTTAATAAGTCAAGGGCAATAACTCTAAAAATACTAAATATATCTAGACGAAAATACCCAGGTGCACAACTACACATGCTGATCAACATTCCTGTAAAGTTTCATGACTCTATGTCAAATACTGTTGAGGTATGTATGACACAAATTGGAAGGAGGGGCGATTTCTATTGTAATTTTCTATTGTTTAACAAAGGGCCAATGGCCCCTTAATCTTTTGTTATTGAATGAACTCTATTGTTCTCTTAACAGTTAGATGGCCCTCTAACCCTATTTGGTAGAGCAGATGGATGGACGGACGGACTAGGGTAAATCTAAATGCCCCAAGCCCCCCCCCCCCCCCCCACTTGAAGTGCGGCACAAAAATTGGTTACAGCGCAAATAAAATTAAATAAACAAATATGAAATGAACATATTGAAATTGCAAGTGTGGTATCATTTAAAGCAATTTAACTGGCAGCATTGCTGTGAATAATTCATAAACAGGAATTTAAAGCTGCAATCAATAGCGATCAGCAGACGTGTTAAAAAATAATTTATAACAGTAAAAGGAAACGCCTAGACATCAGAGATTTAAAATTAAATATGAAATAATGGTAATTCTTTACCTAGAATTTGTCCAAATCCTTCAAACATATCATATACAGCCAATCCTTTAATAATCTTATGCACCGACAAAAAAATCGCTGTCATTAGCCACTGTTGTTCTCCTGGAGTTTTTGACCTTACGTCATATATGCCCAAGTGCCCTTTTCTTGTGGTGGCGGTCAAATATCAAAGTTCTAAACCTTGTACCTTCAGACAAGGAGATTTTTTTTAAAGTCTTTAGTGTACCAACAATTTTGGTAGAGGTCCACTACACAATGTTTTGACATGCAAAATATCTAACCTCTAGCCTATGTCAATTCAGACAATGATTTTTTAAGTTTTTACTACAGGAGATCTTCTATGAGTCGAACTTCCAACTAGTCGATTTTCTCGATGTGTCGAGGTAAAACGAAAGATTTTTCCCCCATATATTCTTAATAAAAAGCTATATGAGTCGAAATTTTATGTGTTGAATTTTTCAATTGTGTCGAATTTTACGATGTGTCAAAAGTTTTCTCATGGTCCATGTAGAACAAATCGAAAACAATTTATCATAAATAAGGCCATTCTTAAACAAGAGGGCCATGATTGCCCTAGATCGCTCACCTGACCCATCAAACTCATCCGAACATTTACCTAGACAAGCATTCTGACCAAGTTTCATGACAGGTGAGTCAAAAATGTGACCACTAGAGTGTTAACAAGGATTATCCATATTTGAGCAGTGTGACCTAGTTTTTTAACCAGGTGACCCATATTCGAACTTGACCTAGGAATCCTCAAAACAAACTTTCAGACCAATTTCCAGGATACTTGGATCAAAACAGTAGCCACTAATGTTAACAAGATTTCTCTATTTTTAGCTCCGGTGACCTAGTTTTTTATTCGAGATGACCCACCTTAAAACTCATCCAAGCAATGACCAAGACAAGCATCCTGACCAAGTTTGATGATAATTGAGTCAAAAATGTGAACACTTGAATGTTAACAAGGTTTTTCCATATTTGGGCAGTGTGACCTAGTTTTTGACCCCAGGTGACCCATTTTCGAACTTGACATAGAAATCATCGAAACAAACTTTGAGGCCATTTTACAGGATATTTGGATCAAAACAGTAGCCACTAGAGTTTTAACAAGATTATTCTTTTTTTAGCTCCTGTGAACCTAGTTTTTCATCCGAGACGCCCCATGTTCGAAATCATCTGAGCAATTACCTAGACAAGCATCCTGACAAAGTTTGATAATGATTGAGGCAAAAATGTGACAGCTTAAGTGTTAATGAACAAGTGTAGAAGGACGACGGACATTCAACCAACCTAAAAGCTCAGCCTGAGCTAGCTCAGGTGAGCTAAAAAAACAAACAGACCAAGTCTGATGACAATCAAGGCAAAAATGTGACCACTAGAGTACAAACAAACTAAATGTGGATAGAAGACAGACAACAAGCTTTGAGTTAGGATCAATGTAAAGTTTGTGGATGGCAACGGCACCATGTGAGGATATGACAACATAACAATAATTTCGTTTTTTTTCTATGAGGAAAGTCGAACTAAACATTGGTTCAACCAATGGTTTAATACTTTCCTTGCAGATTGCAACCTTGTTTGATTTTATCAAGCAAACCAAATTTTTCACATTTACGGTTGTATCAAATTTCTACATTTATTTTAAATATATTTACAATTATACAAAAAATCCTACCGGTACTGTGGCTTGTGACATTTTCGGTATGAACTCCTTCAGATCAGCTTTGATTTTCTCCAGCTACAATTTTAAATGAGAACAAGAACTGTCGGAGGACAGTATTGGCTCGACTATTCAAAAAATTGTCACAAGGGTGTTTTATTAAGTATAATAATGCTTATTACCTATGAATACATAAAACTGACCGAAAAATACAAAGGCTTGTTATTAAGATGTTTTGTCAAGTAAATCACTGCTTTATTATTATGAATGCATAAAAATGCCCCAAAACAGGCACAAACTCTTCAGTAGTTATGGAGATAACAGCTTACAAGCTAAACTTTACCATGAATTTCTAAGTTGAAAAAGGGAAGAAAAATCAGCCCAAATGCAAGATAGAATTATGGATCTTGGTCAGTGACCTACAATTATGATTCTAAATGCATATGTGAAGTTTTAAATTAATATCTTTAATAGTTATTGAGATATGTAAAAACTTGCATGTAAACATTAACCAAGAGACTAAGTAGAAAAGGGGAGATGAATCAGCCTAAATGGGAGTAGAGTTATGGAACTTGGTCAGTGACATACAATTATGACTCTCCAATTTTGAACCTTAGTACATGTGTAAAGTTTCAAGTAAATATCTTTGAAGACCTTTAACCTTTAAACAAAATTTCTAAGTTTCAAAGGGGCAAATAATTCTGTAAATATTGCAGGCAGAGTTTTGCAATTTTGCAAACAAATGTACATTGTTACTATAAACTAGAACTATCACTAAATGTGATTAATACCCCCACAAGACTGCTTCGGAAATGAGGATGTTACTAGTAACAGAATACTTTGTAAAAGAATTGAAATATAGAGTTATGGTTGTGGGCAATTAAAGATAGTTGTGGTTCTTGTATGTTGCATTTCCTTTCAATGTGGTTGGCCAAGTTTAATTGAATTACTCTGTAATAAGTCCAGAAAGACAAAGAAAAGGAACAAAGGGCAATAACTCTATAAATACTGAAGATAGAGTTATAGTTCTTGTGCACTGCACTTCCTCTTATTGTGCTTGACCATTGTATGAAGTTGTTTTGAATTCCAACCAGTACGTTTTAAGTTATGCTCCTGACAAGGAAAAGTATCAAAGGGCAGTAACTCTGTATTTTGTCAAAATGGAGTTATGGCTCTTGTGCACTGCACTTCATTTTAATGTCCTTGACAACTGTATGAAGTTGTATTGAATTCCAAACAGTAGTTTTCAAGTTATGCTCTGGACAAGGAAATGTAACAAAGGGCAATAACTCTGTAATTAGTCAAGATGGAGTTATGGTTCTTATGCACTGCACTTCCTCTCAATGTGCTTGACCATTGTATGAAGTTATATTGAATTCCAATTTTAACATTAGTCTTCAAGTTATGGTCCGGACAAAAAAAAGCAATGGAAAAGTAACAAAGGGCAATAACTCTGTAATTACTTTAGATAGAGTTATGGTTCTTGTGCACTGCACTTCCCCTTATTGTGTTTGACAATTGTATGAAGTTGTTTTGAATTCCAAACAGTAGTTTTCAAGTTATGCCCCGGACAAGGAAAAGTAACAAAGGGCAATAACTCTGTAATTAGTCCAGATAGAGTTATGGTTCTTATGCACTGCACTTCCTCTCATTGTGCTTGACCATTGTATGTAGTTATATTGAATTCCAACCATTAGTCTTCAAGTTATGCTCCGGACAAGGAAAATGCAACGGACGTCTGGACCGAACGACCGACCGACCGCCAGACCGCCAGACCGACCGACCACCGGGTGACTCCTATATACCCCCCAAACTTCGTTTTTTTGGGGTATAAAAAGTATTGTAGATTTCAAGCAATAATTGAGATATTTGACTTTACAAAAAAACTTCAACCAAAATTTCTAAGTTATAAAGGGGCATCATTCTGTAAATATTACAGGCAGAGTTATCCAACTTGTCAATCTGATGTACATTGTTACTATAAATAAGTATTGTAAGTTTCAATTGAATATCTCAAGCAATAATTGAGATATTTGACTTTACAAAAAACTTTAACAAAAATTTCTAAGTTAAAAAGGGGCATAATTCTATAAATATTGTAGGCAGAGTTATCCAACTTGTCAATCTGATGTACATTGTTACTATAAATAAGTATTGTAAGTTTCAATTGAATATCTCAAGCAATAATTGAGATATTTGAATTTACAAAAAACTTTAACCAACGCAGACGCCGACGCGGACGCTGACGCAGACGCCGGGGCGACTACAATAGCTCTCATATTCTTCGAATAGTCAAGCTAAAAATGCTTTGCGACCGCATTAATACAACACTAAATAGAAGTGTAGCAACAGATTTTTTTTTGTTTCTATACAATTGAAGATAATGCATAGATCCCTGACATATCTAATTCTTATTATCAGATTAGTGGTTAAATCTATTGTTAATCCAATAAAAGATCAGAGTAAGAATATATCAATGCACTTGAGGCTAGTGAATTTGGTAGTGAAGGTCATATTTTACACAGCCTAAATTTCATGACTACATCAAAGGACAACACAGTAAGACACAGTCAAAATCTAGGTCAGCTGATATCAAATTCACTTTACATCTTAATCTGACTGTGCACATGGTTCAAATTTCATAGCTGTACATCAAAGGACAAGAAAGTAGATCACATCATCAAAATCTAGGTCACCTGATATCAAAGTTCAATTTTACAACTAAAACTGTGCACATGGTCAAAATTTCATTGCTGTACATCAAAGAACAAGAAAGTAGGTCACTGTCCCCTTGGGCAAGGCAAAATTTTGACCCAAGAGTTTAATTCAAAACAATCTTGATACAGGTCCACCAAACAACATTTCAAGTCAAATATCTAAGCTGTAGCTTTCTCCCATTCAGAAAAAAATTGTTTTATTTTCTGTTTTTACTATGTGTACATAATGAGAATCAATGCCCCCGGGCAGGGCCAATTTTGACACCAGGGGAAAAATTTGAACAACTTTGGTAGAGGACCTATAGATGACATTATATAGCAAACATCAAAGCCTTGTACCTTCAGACAAAAATATTTTTTATTTTTTTACTATATGTTCATAATGAAAATCAATGACCCCCGGGGCGGAACCAATGTTGACCCCAGGGCTATAATTTGAACAATCTTGGTAGAGGTTCACTTCGCAAAGTCTCATGCCATATATTTAACCTCTAGCCTTTGTCAATTCAGAGAAGAAGATTTTTCAAGTTTTTACTTTATACATATAAGGAAAACTATCGACTCTGGGGCAGGGCAATTTTAACACTAGGGGCAAAATTTGAACAACTTTTGTAGAAGACCTATAGATGATATTATATACCAAATATTAAAACTCTAAGCCTTGTACCTTCAGACAAGAAGATTTTTAATTTTTTACTATAAATGTATGTACATAGTGAAAATCAATGACCCCTAAAGGTAGGGCCAATTTTGACCCCAGGGCTATAATTTGTACAACCATGCTAGAGGTTCACTACACAATGTTTCATAAAAATATCTTAACTCTAGCCTTTGTAAATTTAGAGAAGATGATTTTTTAAGCTTTTACTATATACATTTAAGGAAAACTTATGGCCCCCGGGGCTGGGCTAATTTTGACACTAGAGGCAAAATTTGAACAACTTTGGTAGAGAACCTATAGATGATATCATTTTACAAATATTAAAGCTGTAAGCCTTGTACCTTCAGATAATAAGATTTTTTTATTTTTTACTACATGTATACAGTCGACATTGTATTAAGAGACCACTCAAGGGACAGCCAAAAAGTGGTCTCTTAATAGAGTGGTCTCTCAATAGAATTCTGGAAAATTCGAGACTTTTTTATATAACAAGTCATAGATATGATAACATCTTTTTTATAAAAACAAAAACTGTACAATATTATGTATGTATTACAGTTTCATATTTACATTTATGCCTTTTTTTTTTTAAAAGTTATCAATATGTGTTTGTTTTTGTTTTTTAGTAGAAATTTGTGTACAAATGTGATCTACGCTCATTATACTAACAGGTCATTTTGACCATGAAACAAAGCATATTGTCTTATATTCTTAATATGTTCATACACATCTCCTGCTGAACAAACATTCAAATCATCAGCCACAGCTCCAGATAATTTTTCATGCAATGAGTTTTAAACTTCTTGATTTTTTTCATGCAATTAGTTTTTACACTACCCCGATTTCAAATTCAACAAGGTTTTTAGAGATCTAAGATTTTTTTGTCTTTCTTTTTGTCGAAGGGTCATATTTAATGGAGTACTACATGTATTTCATAAAGCATCAGATGAGCACCTACACCATCAGCAACGAAAGGCCTGTAATGTTTAGTTCACTACTTTTCATGGTTTTATTTCGACTACAAACGATGACATTTGCTTTTAACTCAGACTCAATTCCATGCACGATTTCCTCATTCAATTTATCGGTCTTTACTCTTATTAGTTGTCTGTTATTTTCGCTCGTTCCGGCGTCATTTTCGATTTGATTTTCTGGAAGGGAAATCACTCTGAGCACATGCGGTGTTGTGATACGTTATTGCTCTGACAAAATATGTTATAACAAGATATGTTTGTAAAACATGTATGCCCCCTATCAGCAGCCAATTATTCATGTGATAAGGTAACTATGCATGACTTCTGACCCAGTGATCAAACAATTAATATGGGTTATCAAGTATCTACTGGTCATGACCTTGACCTTTGACCCCTTGACCCAAAACTCAATAGGGGTCATCTGCTGGTCAAGACCAATCATCATACAAAGTTTGAAGTTCCTAGGCCTAAGCGTTTTTAGTTAATTGATCAGAAACCGTTTTTACTTACAAGGTCAATGTGACCTTGACCTTTGACCCCTTGACCCCAAAATCAATAGGGGTCATTTGCTGGTCATGACTAATCACCATGCCAAGTTTGAAGTTCCTAGGCCTAAGGGTTCTTTTATTATTGATCCGAAACCGTTTTAACATACAAGGTCACTGTGACCTTGACCTTTGACCCCAAAATCAATAGGGGTCATCTGCTGATCATGACCAATCACTA